CACTCTTTCACAGGAGAGGCATTTGTTTAAAAACAACTGAGTTTAGTAAAGAAAGAAACCTTTGTTAAACTTCCTGGGTATAAGGAGGAGAGATTTTGAATTGAAATTCTCACACAGGTAGTGATATCTGATGTTAAAAGGTAGGAACTGGATGGTGTCCTCTGTATACCAGGAGATGTGCCAGGGCTGGAACATGTGTTGTTTTAGCTTAGTAGCAGATGGACTGACACAGTGCAGTCACAGAGTAACTGTCCTGGTAGTACAGCAGCACCTTTATTCTGCATCTGTTTTCTGCCACAACCATCTGTTGATAAAACTGACATGGAACACGTATAAGGGCAGAACCATTTGACCTGTTACACGCCTGAACTCAGTGGCAGGGGAGCTGTGGCTGCAGAGAGCCTGTGAGTTTTTAACCGTGAGGGAAAGGAAGGAAGCTGTGCTGGAAGGGCTGTGCAGTGCCCCCTTCCTCCCCACCCCAGGATCCTTGTTACACTAATACTTGAACGTGTGCCTTATGGTATTCCTATCTGACTTGCTATCGTGTTTTATATACTGGTTTTGAACTTTGTTTGGGGTTGTTTTTTGTTTGGGTTTTCAGTGCAAAGTACACGTGTGAGGAGTTAATTTAATTCCCAACCAAATAAATGCTTTTTATATTAAAAAATTCAGTTAAACAAGAGCTGTTTCTGTGAAGTCCTTTCCTAAAAGATCTCCAGTTATCAAACACCGAATTAAAAGTCACAAAAGCCAGGGATTTCCAACTGCTCCTTCTGAAACTTGGGTACTGTGGAACCCAGAATGGAACCCAGAACCTGAAGCATCCATGGTGCTGCCCTGCTTCCTGCTGGGAATGTCGTTGGTTGCACCACGTGTCCTGCGGCTTATCATCAGTTCAGATGGTGAAATCACTGCCTGACGTGTGGGGGTATGGTCAAATGCCTTTGCAGGTACCAAATCTCTTAAGTATGTCTTCTCAGCAAAAAGGTCTTTACTTCCCAGATGAAAACCAGGCAGTGGAAGGTGCTTGGGAGCATGAAAATAGGTTTGGAGCAGGCCTTGGAACTCACTGGCTCCAGCCCCCAGTCTGAGCTGTATTCCTGAACCTGAAAGCAGTATTTGCATGGTTTGTTCCTAACACTCAAGGCACGATGACCCACAGCTCCCCCCAGGGAGCCCCTTCTGCTGTTCAGCCAGTCTCTACTGAAGCATTTATTACTGAAATGACAGTCAAGTTTAATACTCATAAATATTTATAAACCAAACCAGCTTCTGCTCGGGCTCCAGGCACATGAAAAATAACTACTTATGCTGCAGTTTATAACCCTATTACATAGCAGATGACAGGTCTTGGCCAACTTGTCTTAATTATTTAACAAAGCAGAGGCAGCTTCATGGCACTAACAGTGCAGCACACCACGAGACCATCTCATCAGTCTGTCTCACACACTGCACAGTAAGCATGCCTGGTCCAGTAGTATCCTCATATTTGCTGCCTTCTGGTTTGCTAGACAATTATTCCCCAAACCATTTTTCCCATACTTGCTGAATTTCATCTAAGTTCCAGGCAATTTTTTTTCAGTTTGTAAAGGTAGTTTTGTAGTTTGTATATACTGCATAGTCTGCAGTACTTCTCTGTTACCTCAGTTGTTAAATTAGGGATGAATCCCAAAGCTCACTGGAAAGGTCTCCTTAACTTGATGGCAAATGCCATATGGTGCAGTTTTGTCAGCACAGATGCAGACCCTTTCTGGTAGTTTCTCCAAGCTCATACATTGCCAGTTTTGTGCTGCCCAGAACTGTGCACTGCTTTGAAATCTGTGCAGGAGAGCTGGGTGTAAAGAAGCTGCTGCTGGTGCCAAAGGAAGCTGAATTTTAAAACCTTTGCTCTGAACTACACTCCATCACTATCAAAATCCTTGCTAAAGCTCAGATAACTGCTCTTCCTGTTCTATTACATCCAAATAAATTAAGCTGGACTGACATTAATGCTC